AGAAAACATTAGAACAACACTGGAAAGTTACACAGGAAACAGGAATAAACAAACTCTGTGCCTCCATTTTTAAATCAAGCATAAATTTTAACTTGGTGATCATCATAGCTTTTCAACAGGAGAGCTGTGTTAGGAGTCACATCCTCAAGAGTATTTCCCTGATGAAACACTCTGGTGCTTTGCGTCAGAAGAAGAGAAAGCTCACTATATGAGCCAATATTCACAATTCAGTGGTTTGCTGCTTCCTGTAATGGGATTTGATGGTCTTGTCTGCAGGTACTTACACTAAGACAGTAGCAGCTCTTTCACTGTCACAAAAACGAAACAAAAAAAGATGTTAGCAATCCTGTGATGCTGTAAAAATGCAACAAAAAAAAATTTGAAGCCATTATTTTATTTTTTTAGAATAAACTATATGTAATTAAGGATTCAGCCCCCTGCGTCACTACCTTCTCCAGCACAACTTAAGTGCTTGAAAGTCTGGTGGTTAAAATGGATGCCTGCATTACTCTACAGCACACATATCATCAAAACCCATGTGTTACATTACTAGAATACTTGTGAGAGTCAATAGAACAACACATTTCATGAAGCTGTGCCTGCCAGCAAGGCATCTCTTGCTGCTTTAAACTACTGTTTTACCATCTGCTTTGCCTACTTTTGTCCATATTCCCTTTATAACCAACTGCTCATGGGATACCAGAGATGTTCTAGAAACCTGCGTGACACTATTATTGCTTAAAATGAAGTTTCCTTTAGAAATCATAGAATTACAGAAAAAATTATGTTGGAAAAGACCTCAAAGATCATCAAGTCCAACCTTTGACTGATCACCATCTTGTCAACTAGACCAGAGCACTCAGTGCCACATCCAGTCAATTCTTGAACACCTCTAGGAATGATGATTCCATCACCTTCCTGGGAAGCCCATAGCAATGCTTGACCAACCCTTCTATGAAGAATTTCTTCCCAGTGTCCGACCTGAACCTCCTCAGCAGAGCTTGATGCCATGTTCTTTCATTAATTGCCTGGGAGAAGAACCTGACCCTCACCTCACTACACCCTCCTTTCAGGTAGCTGTAGAAAGTGAAAAGGTCCCTTCTGAGCCTCCTTTGCTCCAGGCTGAGCCCCCCCAGCTCCCTCAGCTGCTCAGACTTATGCTCCAGACCCTTCCTCAGCTCTGTTGCCCTTCTCTGGACACGCTCCAGCCCCTCAGCATCCTTCCTGAATTGAGTGCTCCAGAACCAGACACAGCATTGGAGGTGTGGCCTCATCAGTGCTGAGTACTGGGGGACCATCACTGCCCTGGTCCTGATTGTCTGATTGTAATAAGACTAAATAATACCACTTGGACTGAAGAACGGTCCAAGGACTATGCTGGCAAAGATATTATACCAGTAAAGGCACATCAGCATAAACACTGTGATCACAAGGAACCCAAACACAAAATAAGGTCTTTGGAGTTGCGCTCTAAATTCACAGAAGAAATTTATTTTATCAAGAATCACAAAATATGCTGAGTTGGAAGGGGCCCACAATGATCATCAAGTCCAACTCCTAGAGAATCTGGGCACATTTACATATTTATTCCCAGTGCTGTTGCAGGGCTGAGCTTCTTGCAATGAGCCTGGATGGTACAGAACATCAGCAGAGCTACAAGTGGCCAAGAAATCAAGAAAGGGAACAAAATGGCTTTTTGAATAATACATTGCTACCACCATTTCTCTTCTTGAAGAGGAACTCATCAGTCAAAGTGTGACAGTTCTGCTGAAAGCAACTTTGGAAAATAAGCTCATAAGATTTTATGGTTTCTGAGTGTCAGGTGTTGTTTTAGGACAGAAAAGGAATAGGCTCCTTACAGGACAAAATTATTACTCTTACTGAGGAAAGATTATCCACTTCAGAGCTTACAGATATATAATGCAACTCTTCATAGCCAAGTCTACACATATCTTCTACTTAACAAGACTAATTTCATAACAAAGCCTCTTGCCCTGTTTAGCCAGAGAAGCTTCCTCGGAAAAAGACAGCCAAGAATTTGGACGCAACTAAAAAGCAGACAGTAACTCTGTGTGGACTGTTTACAGGCCCAGGGACTCAGACAGAAATACAATTGGAACACAAATGAAATAAGAAGCAGAGCATGCAGTGACGGAGGGAAAGCTGAGGTGAAAAAAAAAAGTTATTAAGTCTCTCTACATCTCCTGTTGACAAGCTTCCCCAGATGACTTTTGTCCCCTAAAATAGCACTAGCTGATGTCCAGGATATAGGTCTTATTCAGAAAAGGAAAAAAAAAATAAAGCAATTGACTTACAAATGGAATTACGTGAAGGCCTCTTAGACTGTCTAGCAAGTAACAAAACCACACATCACACAGCCCAAAGGGTTGCTTCTTGATATCTAAGCATAATTCCACTATGGATGTATCTGCTCACTTATTCTCTATCTCCTCTCCCAGGTGCCAACTTTGATGTTACCAGTGGCTTTGGAGTATCTAAATGCATTTGCTTTACTAGTCACTCCAATACTACAACAGCATTGTCTTAAAAATCTTACAAGCCCTTACTACCACCTGTCTGCCCCAACCCTCCCTCTCTTAGTACATTCTCAGATGTTGTTTTGCCCTATTCCAATACTGAAATATTGACTCTCCTTCCAGGAGCCTCTCAAATGACTATGACCTCTGTGTGATTTGCTGAGTCACATTACACCAGGGAGGACCATTATGCTGCTGAACAGAAGGCAACAGCAGCATTCATTGCAAGATACAAAGAATACTCAAATACTGACTAAAAATAAAGCATTTATCATTCGCATAAAAGTATTTACTGACATTTAAATGGAAAGCTACTAAGGCTTCTTGGAGGATAAAGACCTTTTCTGCACAAACTCTTCCAACATCTAAGCATTGCTATTAATGAACTTTTATTTGGACTTTATGTGGACACCAGAGGTGAAAGAAGGAAAAAAGAAAAAGGAAAAACACAAGACATCTTCCCCACTTTCCACAGGGAACCCTGTGATACATATTTGTTCTTTAAAAAAAAAAAAAAAAAAGGCAGGAGGTGTGGACAGATACAAAGAAAAACCCAGCAAACCAGTAACACACAATAAAATAACTCAAACCAGCAACATTTATCACAATTTTTGGTTTCTGAACAGCACTAAGCAGATACCAGTGATGTATCCCTTTGATATTCTAATACTTCAGTTTTAGAGATAATCCTCCTCTATTTAATCAGTCCAACAGTTAGGTGTTGGACACCTGAAACAAGATGGAGTTGTTTATGTGCAGTATAATTTCAAGCAATGAAATATATGCATTTACCTGTTAGAAGTTATTAATATTTATACCTTTTCCCAAATCTTGCCATATAACATCTTAATTGGCAAGAGGTCACATTACAATTCAGCAGCAGCATTTGAAGAGTCTTCAGGCATATCACAGTTATTACAAAAAGCATATATTTCTATTTAGAATTAACATAGGTAAGTTAAGAGTTAATTAATGCACAGCCCTTTCATATAGCATGGGTCAGCTAAGGGCTTTATTTTTGGCAATACCCGACTTACCCCAAGCTCAATACCATAACACCAGCCCATCAGACCCAGTAAACCCCTGTGACAAGAAAACAGTGGCTCAGAGTGCCCCAGCCAAGGCCATTACAGTGCCTCAATCCAGAATTATGGAATGGTTTGGGTTGGAAGGGACCTTAAAGTCCATCCAGTTCCAACACCCTGCCATGGGCAGGGACACCTTCCACTAGACCAGGATGCTCAAAGTCCCATCCAACCTGGCCTTGAATGTTTCCAGGGCTGGGGTATCCACAGCCTTTCTGGGCAACCTGTGCCAGTGCCTCACCACCCTCACATGAAAGAACTGCAGGGGCTCCTGGCCAAGAGCACTTGAGGGTCCTGGCACACAAAAGCCATTGCTTCTCATCCCCATCCATCTTTCCCTCTCAGATTTTTCTCTATTTAGGTGGGGAAGCAGACTTCCCAAATACAGAAATATGGCCCTCTGTTATTAAATACCTGGCACATCTGAATCCCAGTTTTGGGAAGTGCTCAGCAACACCAGTTTGAACAGTGTCAAAGCTGCATCAAAGCCCTGTCATGCTCCCTGAAATCCCAGTCAATCTGGCACAAGGGTACATAAAACAAGAGCCACAAAACAAAAAGCCAAGAGTTCAAGAGAGAATTTCTCACCTTTGTGGCTGACCTACTCAAGGACTGGAGTAGGGGTAGAAAATCAGTTTAGGTGGCACAATAGTTAACGTGCAAAGAACCAATATTTACTTTTAAGATAATTTTATGGAAACAGTAAGAGTAATAGAGCTCAAAAGGTGCACAACATGCACCTAAACACATCTATGCATCCTACAGATATCATTCCAGATGATGCATTTTATTCATTTTGCCATTATAGCTACTAGAAGGCTTTGGTTATAAGCCAGGCCCTCCAGAGATAAGTACTGTCTATACATTCTAATGGCAAACTGCTGTCTAACTCACATAATATGCATTCAGATGCTGCTTTTCTGCATATCATTTCATCTTATGTTTACAAGTATGCCAAGCATAAACACTTCTCCAACTCTAAGCCAGATCTAGCCAATATACACAAGTTCTTAGCATAACACCCCCCAGACTGTCTCCCAGTTTGTACTGGGCACTTTCTGCAAGCTGAGATACAATAAAGAAACCAAAATGATTATGTATTGTATTCATTTGAGCAAAAGTCACTTATCAGGAATGTTCCATCATTACCTCCAAGTACTATGCTAGCAGTTTGTGAACAACAAATGTAGCCTGTATTGTGAACATTATCTGGTATCAAAACAACCCTATAATACATCATTTTTCCATCCAGACAATAATATGTTTTGTTTCCCTTTGAGTCTGATCCAGTGGTTTGGACAGGGTCAAAAACATGTTCAACACTTAAGAAGTTAAACCACCCAAGAGCTATGTAAATATATTCATTGAAACTTCATACCTGTAGGGTCTGTTCTTTCCAGCTCAAGTCTGACCATTTCTTACCTCTTTAAACAGCCAAAATCAAGTTGTAGCTATTTCAATTCAAGTTTAATCTTCCCATCTCTTACTAAAGCTGTGAAGTTTTGAACTGGTATAAAGCAAGCATTCAGAAAGGTTTACTACCAATTTTGCACGTTTTCACCCGCAAATAATCTTTGAGTGAAACTGGATGCTTGGTTTAATTCCTATTAACAGACTTAGTTCCTATTAACAGACTTTAATTCCTATTTACAGACTTAACTAGTGGTTCAACAACTACCACTGTTAGTTTATTTGCTGTTGTTCAGAAATGGCCATTTTCTCTTTTTCCTTCTCCAAAAGCTCCTTCACCACCCAGCGTGTGTTAGAAACCGACAAGTGAACAGGACCAGATGTTCAGCTGCCAAGCTCGCCTTCTGCCTGCTTTAAGAAATTTTATGTAAGCACTTGAATGCTTGATGATATATTGTGAGCACAGAGGTGACATAACTCACTGGAGTCCTCCAGACAAAAAAGTGACTTTAGAAATACAGGTGAGCACAATCTGCTGTCTCATTCTTCGAAATACATATTCATTTCCCTAAAAAACCTCAGTATTTAGATGAAGGAAACAAAGCATTTGTCTTGATTACAAGACATCATAATATTTGCTTTAAGCTTCCTGAGGTGGAATTACAGCACAGTCACTTACAGTGCTTTGAGGAAGACACAACAGGCTTTTCTGCAAAAATGTTTTGCAAAAACTGATTTTTTCCGAAGTACTGGGAATGATAGAAGACATGCCAGAAAATGAAACTGTAACAAAGTTAGCTTCAAAAAATTGGAGGTAGGAGTGTGTGAGCTAACACGACTAGAATTAATTACTTGAAAACAAGTTGCCCTTCACCTTTCACATAAGGTTTCCCTCAGTTTCCATTGAAGGGCTCACCCCACGGTACTGAACTAGAATTGAACTAGCCACTGAACTAGAGAGTAAGAACTTGTAAACCATCTCTTTTCCCATATGTATGTAACAAAGTTTTCATGGTGGAGAAAAAAACCACCAACCAGCCAAAGAAGAAAAACCAGCAATGAGACAGCTCATTGTATACATCCACAGAGACACTATTTTATGCCTTTTTTTTTTTTCTTGATATCGTTGTATAACTTCAAGGGAACCTTAATTTAGCCATTCCATATGGCCCTGGCAAGCAGTCTCTAAGGGCAAATACAAATGTCTAACTTGTGCTTCAACTGCTTTAATATACAAGATATTTATATTGCGATGTGGATGCTTCTGGCTGTGTCCACATTTCTTAGTAACTTTCCTTTACATAAGCATTTGCACTGGAGTCACCTCTAGCATTGCAAAGGGAAAGTAAGACACTAAGCCTTACTTTTAGAAAAGTGTTCCTAAAAGGGACTGCCAGGTGCAGGAAGCCAGTATAGACTGTGTAAACAGAACTGCTCCAACAGAAGGATGACATTTTGAGTGTTGATGGGCTCTAAGTAGATCATACCAGATGTAAACTTTCATTACTAAGAAGTTGTTCCTGACCCACCAAAAGCATCATCAATCCAAATTTACTCCCCTCCAAACAAGGGAAGCTTGCTTACTGCAGAAGGTTCACATGCATGTCACTATCTCCAGTGAAGAACTATCACTATTATTTACTTGTGAATTTATGAAGAAACTGAATTTTCTTAATATCAGAAGATATTAAGAATTATACAAGAAGATTCTCCCACACTTCACAACCTAGCAACCAGCAGCACCTGGGGCAGCCTTTGAAGAAGGGTAAACACCTCCTCTAACTTTTTTAGCTCACTTCTTTAAAAACAGGTCTGCACGTACCCCAAATAACATTTGGGGTTGGTCAGTGGGCGTGGACAAGTTTGGTAGCTCTAGGTCATGAAAGGTGATCCCAGGTGTTTTGTTAAATCAGTCAGCTGAACAGAAAATGTGATGTCAAAGTTCAATTACTTCTGCTTTCTTACCTCATCATTTGCACTGGCATCGGCCAGTTTCTGCAGCAGAACCTGGCAGCTACCAAAACAGGCTGCAGTAGGAATTATAGGTATAATACAGGAAATAATCACAAAAACATCATTGTGTAATTCAGTTAAATGACCAATAGGAAGACCTCATCCAGGCTCAATTAGATCTGCTAATCACAGTGGTAGTTTTAACTCTCATTATTAATGCCAGATGCCCTATGATATTCACAGTTCCCAGAAACAGATATCCTACAACATGAACAAAGAATTGTTGCAACTTTAAAATTGAGAAAACGGGCTCTCAGAGGCCAAGCAACAACAAAAGCAAGTTCTCCCGTTACATATATCCACCTTAAACAGGGGAAATGAAAAAATGTGACTGTCTTGACATGACATTTCCAGGTATATTTCCAGTCTCCTGTTTGCAGTGAGGGTAGACAATCACACTTATTTTCTCTTTTGCACATCTAATAGCAGACTATGGGGTCAGGAACCTAAAATAAGGATACCATGGGGCCATCAGTGACCAGCTCTCTCTGCTGGAGAGAGACAGAGCCCCTGCCACAGAACAGCAGTGCTTCTGGCTGAGTCCTCTCAGGAATTCAGAGCCACTTCCAAGCAGCATGCCTAGGTTTAAGGAAAACAGTATGACTTGCTGAAATGCAGCAAAGGCCATGATTTCTGGAAGACATGCCAGTAACTCACAGCCCGTTTCTTCTGAGCCCTGAGGATCTAACCCAGGGGGTAAAATTTTGAAGGTTATAAAATGAGCTAGAGGGAAACATGTCTCCCTTTCAAAGACAAGAAAAAGTCTTCCCATCAGCTCCCAAGAAGCATTTGGGTGTCTTGTGCAGTGTCACCACAGTCATTAAAGAAAAGTGTTAGGCTGAGGACAGAAACACACATTGCTTTTCTGTAGTTAGCTTTCATTTGTTTGTCTATATTTAGGTAGCTTACTCTCCTCTCACATTTTATGTTGAGGGTGTCTAAGAGTGTGCAGTTTTATAGACTGTGAGTAGCCTATAGCAAAGAAAAACTGCTTCTCACCTAAAACAGCAAGAGAAGGAACCTTCCTTTGATGCCTCTTTCCCTCATTGCCCCCTCAAAACCAGGTAACGCTTTACAGCATTACAGTGAACAGGTATTGCTAGAGAAGTATGAAGTCTTACAAATTTAAGAAATCCCATCTCACCTGATTATGGTCTGATTCAGAAATGAGTTCCTTCCAATCTAATCCAGCAAAGAGGGTTCAGCTGAAGACTGGGGGTTGGCAATATTCTCAAATTTGAGTATATCAGTTGTACAACACATATAGTCAAGACAGCATAAAGACTTCCACTATTAATGCCTACAGTTAAATGCAGTCATAGCTTGTTGGGCATGGGGGAGAAAGATACAGAGTTTCTAGAACAAAAAAGCCTTTTGTATCTGACTGAAAGATTCCTGAGGAATAAGGAATAGGGTTTTTTAAGCCAAAATAAACAAACAAACAAAATATCACCTTATTTATTGCTCAATCAACTAACCCGGTGAGCGCCATCAAATATTTATGCAAGAATACTATTTATTGCCTCTGCACTGTCCTCACACAGACACATCTGCTGGATTAGCCTCCAGAACCACCAACTTAAGTTTAAGTTTAATTTTAATGTACACTAATGCAAGAAAAATCACACTTAGAAGCTTGACAGAAAAGCCAGTTCATCGGCATATATCTCCTCTAGAGTAGCCATGATGGTTAATAACAATAATTTCTGTACAATTTCTGTCCTGCCAACAGAGCTCCCAAGTGCTCTGTGGCACCTTTTAAAATTTTCCCAATACTATCAGTTCCAGAAGCTTGAGAGATAACATGATAAAAGACCCCCAACTCCTTTTCTTTCCCCTAAATTAAAGGTGAAAAGCAAGGCTTAGCTCAGAGAAAGCACTAGTTCTGCAGGTCACGAATATTTCTTAGCAGGTTCTCACTGAAAATGCCCTGTGACCAACTTATACAGCTTTTAATTTCTGCAGCTCAGCTACCAAGAAAGTTCTCTACACCTGCCCCACAATATAATCATATAATCACATAATCATTTAGGTTGGAAAAGATCATCGAGTCCAACCCTTGACCAATCATGACCTTATCAACTGGACCAGAGCACTGAGTGCCATGTCTAGTTGTTCCTTGAACATTTCCAGGGATGGCGACTCCACCACCTCCCTGGGCAGTCCATTCCAATGCTTTACAACCCTTTCTGTGAAGAAATTCCTCCTGATGTCCAACCTGAACCTCCCGTGGTGCAGCTTGAGGCTGTGCCCTCTTGTCCTGTCGCTGGTTGCCTGGGAGAAAAGACCAACCCCCACCCACCCTGCTTGTCAGGTATCAATCACTCCTTTTTTTCCCCCTCACTAGTTTCTGCCCACTCCCCACCCTCTCCAGAGCATGTGGGTCCCACATAAGAGACTGCTCAGCCCATATGCCTGACTTGGATGCCAGAATTACTCAGCCTTATTGTTCATGTGAAGGCGCTCCAGCCACAGAAGCAGCAGCAGCAGGCTCCAGGCTGCTGCTGAATTTCTGCCTAGATTTCCTCTGGCTCACAAACAATCAGCATCTGCACAGCCACACACCTACAGTCACTTTCTTCATGCAAAGACTTCTTATCAGCACCTTGCTGGTAAACCTGCTTCCCACCTGGTGTTTTTTTTTGGGAACTGGGACAGGAAGAGGAAAAAAACCCCAAACAAATAAGTCTTAGAACAATGTAGGCCCCAGACTTCAATGCACTGTACTGCTTCCAAACCACGCTCTATCATTTCCTCACTAGTCAAAGCCAGCACTGCTAACAGACACAGCTAACCAGAAAGTTGAGCAGCCTGAACAACAAAAATCTGTCAACAAAAAAACCCCCATGGCTCACTGGCTCAGATGTACCCATGCAATTAAGAACAAATGAAGGAAAAAATACAAAGAAAATAGTATTTATTATTATTTACTATATGAAAGAGAAAGTCTGTGGTAGCTGTTCATCTAACAGCCCAACATTTCCCTAAGGTC